ATATATATATATATATATATATACTATTCTGTGTGTCTCTATATATATATATATATATATACTATTCTCTGTGTGTCTCTATATATATATATATATATATATATATATATATATATATATATATATTATTCTGTGTGTGTATATATATATATATATATATATATATTCTGTGTGTCTATATATATTTATTCGGTGTGTGTGTGTGTGTATATATGAGCAATGACAAAAAAAAACAAAAAAACTTACCTGACGTATTTTATCCTCTGATAGACTTTATTAAAGCAAATGTAATTGAATTCATTCATTCAACAACATTTACACACTAATGTTTATTAGACATAAAATTATGTCACTTAGCATCTTCCATAATTTACCTTACCTTTTCAGTTAACCTGATGAATATTTGAGCATCTTAAATTTAATAAAAAAAAAAATCATGAAAAGCTAACATTTTTTACTTTTGTTTATAAAAACTTTTGCAAAATAAAATGATTTGCCTTGATAAAGGCCATCAGAGGACAAAACATGTTACCAAACATGTTTTCCTTATGTCTTTATTTTGTTCTTACACACACAAATAAAGATTATATATATATATATATATATATATATATATATATATATATATATATATATATATATATATATATATTATGATGATGTATTGAATGCTCTGGTATTATGATAAAGCTTATTTTACCTAAGCTCTAAATTGAAGCTTGGATGAACTACAGTGAAATACAGCCACCCAAGTACTCATGTACTATTCCCTTTTATATGCTGGAAAACATGGTAATTTAGAAAAATTCAGTAAAATCAAGCTTAAGTTATTTATTTAAATTTTTTTAATTTTTTTTACAATGATGTTCACCTGGTACAAAGCCCAAGAGCCATTTGAGGTAGAGGGTTACAGAGTAAGAGATAAAGTTTATGGGGATATGTAGAGAAGGATAGTTGTTGATCCTAGACTTGAACAAGTTAAGATTGTAGTGATTGGGGAAGCATCCTCTTGGGAGTCAGTTCCACAAACAATTTTTATAGAAAAATTATTAAAATCTGATTTTGTTATGCAAGTTTAATTTAATTCCAATAAACATTAACAGGATAATTTTAAAACTATGTTAGTTAATATGTTAAACATCTAAGTTTATCTGGAGATTAATTTAAAAGTCACAACCAGTGCAACAATGCCCTTCTATTGGAATAAAATATAATTTCTTAAACTAAAAGGTCAAAATATCAAAAATGGAACTGATGTTATGTTAGTGATAACTGTTCATTCATGATAATAACTTATGTTCTGTAATTTTTTACTATTATCTTAATATATTACATTTGAATTGAAAGTGTGCACTCCAAATTTCAGTCCATTCCATCCCATAATTATGCTGTCCACAAGATTTGGGAAGTTTTATTTAAGAGATTAAAACTTTAGTCACTGAAAAGAAAAAATCCATCAATATAAGTCCCATAGTACAACTTTCAGGTTTTCAAAGTCAAATTGAATTTAAAAAGATAGGACTATGGGACTTACCTGTAATTATAATGGGAATATCTGAAATACAAAGTAACAAACCCAGAAATCAGGTCTTGCAAAAGTTAAAATATTTTAATAAGCATATCGATGTAAAAGTTTTCATTTTTCAAATTGATTCTTGTTAGGTTTCATGTTGGTAAAATAAAAACTTAAATAAATTATTATACTTCCAAGTCTTGAAGACACTGCCTTTAAGAAATACCTGAATTTTGATTTTGAAAAAGAGAGACTTATTCTAAAGGTGATGGTAGAAAAACTTGTAAAGTAATATTTCAATAAGGAAGTTAATATTCAATAGAAGTGATGAAGCTTAAGTATAAATCTTCAAGTTGGGAAGATGATTATTTTCTACAGTCACTTGAACTGACCGATTAATTTTGTATTAAATCTGAAGCTGAAATATACATTTCCTTTAATGATTTAGATTTTGTTAAGTATTTGCCAGATAGAAGCATTATTTAAGAAACCTGAACTTATCAACTTAAGTACACTGATGTATGCCATTTAAGTGCAGTCTATAATTGCAAATATAATCTAAGTTAAAGCATGGTATATCACAAAATGCTTTTATTAATCAAACACATTAAAATTGTCATTCACTTATAGATTTCATATAAAGAGTGATAACAAATTGTGGTGGTTGATAAAAAAAAAAAAAAAAAAAAAAAAAGAAGATGGGACACAAACCCCAAAAGCAAAATACACACTTGTACATGGCCTAACTTTTGGCATATAGAGGTTTTATTTTCTTCACAAATAAATAAATAAACATTCTGATTAAGAAATGTGATAAATCTGTTTTGTTTTAGTATAAATCTTATATCTTAAAAGCAGATATCTTGTGCTTATTTAATGTTTTTTTTTTTTTTCAATGTACAACTCCTTTTGTAAATATGGTTGTTTTGTGTGGACAAATTGACCAAAAATCATGTTGTGTTATTCCAAGCTTTCAATTTACATAAGTCTAGGAGAATGAGTGAGGAAAGAAAATTAAGTGCATTTTAAGATGCAGATGGTATAATTTTTGAAAACTAAATCAAACACAGTTAAATGCAGCAAATCATGACAGCAACATGTAATAACATATAGTGATTACTCTGCCCTTCACTCCTGATGATTATTCATGTGAGTCAAAGGCTTGGACTACACAACATGAATTTTCGCCAATTTCTCCACAAACAACAATCATATTTGCAAAAGGATATTTGTATGAAAAGAAAAAGAAAAAAGAAAGATCCTTAAATTTAAAGACATAAAATGTCTATTGTTTTTTAACAAGACATGTTTAAAAGAACAACTGCTTCTCAAATATAATTTGTATGTTGTGCATTGAAAAATTCAGTAAAAAGAAAAGGATTTATTAGCAGTCAGGAACCAATGAAAGTATTACTAACAGAGTGAGTAAGACAACGAACAGAGTAAGACAAGTAGACAAACATCTAAATAGGGTTTAATTCAATTCTTAGTATTGTACATCTTTTCTCCTATTTCTTAATATAACCACTTCATTATAAATAAACTGCTGAGTAAGTTTGCTAAATTGAAATTGATAGATTTTGCTAAGCCAGAAAAAGTTTAAAAATAATTCTACATCTTTATTAGATCATAATAAAGTGTAAAAGATATTTCTCCATTTCAAAAAACTTAAGTACATTTTAAGTAGATGTAAGTATGCTTTAACAAGTAATTTGACAGACATGAATCCTTCACATGAAATTTCTAATTTACTTTCATTCTATCCCTTTACCAAAATTAGAAATGTTTGGCGAAACTGTTTAAAATGTTCAGAAATTATTATAATTATGAAACTTATTTTTTTGTTATTGGAAATTAGTATAAAAATTTAGTAATCTTTACCAAAAAGATTCAAATTTGTTTTGCCTAGAATTACTCGTATATGTACACTGAATGCTATATATTTTCTAAAGATGCGATCAATTTTTATCTATTACACAGACAGATTTTATTATTTAAACATCATTTTCATTGGATACTCATATTTGAGTAGATACTTCATTTATTTATGTTAGCATATGAAACTGAGCAGATATGAATGACTCAAGAGTCTGAGAAAGAATTGCATTTATAAGGCACTATTCAACTTTGCTTGATCATTTACACACATTGTGGCCAAGATGGCCTAAAGCACATCAAATCTAACAATGGTTTCTTCTACTAAGGGGGATGCAGGTTCAAATACTGCCAGAGAGCCTATATTTTTCTTTAATAAGATTTATCAAATATTCAGGCTAGTAGTAAAAAAGAAATAATATACTGTTTAATAAATAAGTCTCTACTCTAATATAGGTATCCACTGAAAATAACATTTAAGAAATTATATATATATATTAGTTGGATTGATGTGAGTTTTTGAACCTGGGTTTCACGCTTTTGCAAAAGTGTGAAACCCAGGGTCACAAACTCACATCAATCCAACTAAGTATGTTAACTATCTCTGATATTGAGTGCTTTCCAATAAGTACCGCGCATATAATATATATATATATATATATATATATACACACACACACACACACTTTCCATATATTTTAACTTCTGAAGTCAGTACTACTGAGTCATCCTGAAACATATCAGTAAGCCCATCTATATTACACAAGAAATTTTTCAACAATCTCATTTCTTATCAACGGACTAAATTCAATATCAAAGTAGATTACAAAGATATTACAGTTTAAAACCTTTCCATATATAAAATTCTGTGACTGTCACACCCTCTAAAATAGACATACATTGACTGATTGAAATTAAATTTGGGGGAGAAGTTCAAGCAGGTAAGGGGGTACAAAGTACAGTTGGTTTTACTAGGATGCACAGTTTAGTATAATACATTTTCATTCATTTTTTGGAACAATTAATTTTTTATATATATATATTTAATTCTGGTAAAATATAATGGACAGTCATATCACTGTAAATATAAACACACTAGGGAGAGTTTCAAATAGACAAAAGAAGTAATAACTTCAACAATACTAAAATCTGTGAGGCTTTCAACATGTGTCAATGTATTGCAAAAAAATTCTGGTTATACAAATTTCATTGGTAATATTGTACTGATTTTTATTAGTTTTACAATAAAAAAAATGTTTAAGAAGGAAATAATATTTGATCAAATTTAAAATAGAAAATGGATAAATTCACATTTTTTTTTTAAATTTTTAGTCTCCTCAGTATCCTCTTCAATTGCTTTAATGGCTTATCAACCTTTGCAGGTTATTTAAATCCAGAAAATATTTAGCTAAGAATTTTTAGAGACAATAATGATTTACTGATAGATGCCCTATTAATTAACACATAGCTGGAGGGAGAAGGGGTGGATTCATACCTTTTCCAAGAGTATTTGCAAGTAATGAATATAACAAACCCAACTGGAATTTGAACTCAGCTCTCCAATTCCAAGCCATTATTTATTACCCCAACTGACCTGCACATTCATGCTTAAAGCACCTGGTATTCCCAAATAGTCACCCATCTAGGTACTGACCAGGCTCCACATTGCTTAACTTCCATGTTTGTATGAGAACCAGTGTTTCAATGTGATATGGCCATAAGCCTCAGTATCTTAATACATATCTTAAACTCCTTGCACTTAGAAGTATACTAAGCTATGCTAATTCTTTGCATCTCTCTCAACAGCTGCTATTTCTGTAATATAGACCCTCCCACCAGGATACAAAAAGGGAGGGCTCAAAAGATTTTGAGTATCCAGAAACTACTAAGCAAATGACATACAAAACCAGGATACACATCAAATGAACCCAGTTCCAAACAAACATCTGTTACCCTTTTATTTTCCATGCATTGCTTGTCCTTTCATCATTGTCTGCTGCCAGTTTATTTTTTTTACTGATTCCTCCTTTTTATTGCACTGTTTTATATATTCTTTTTACTCTTACTGTCTTCTCCTGTAAAGAGCCCATTGATGGCCATCAGGTCTCAAACTGAAGATAGTGAACTAAGACATTCAGAAAGAATATTCAGTAAAACTGCCTAGAATTTTATAAAAATAAAAGGACAAACAACTAATGATATATTTGAATGCATTACAAATTTAAAAGCCTAAAAATAACTTTTTAATTTAATTCATTTGGATACAAAGCCTTAGAAAAAACATATCTATCACAGGAAAGTGATAATTAGCATTTAAATTTTTTTTTAATGATTTAAGATCATTTACTTTAGATTGAAGTTATATACTTAAATAATTTTTGGTCATTGAGTGTATGAAAATTTGGCTTCAATTCTCTGAAAAGAATTAAAAAAAGAAAAAAAAAAAAAAAAAATCTCAAAGTCCAAATTAAGATGAAATTGTTAAGAGCATATAGAAGAGAAAATTAATCATAAATCCAAAAGACTTGAGAGCATAATTTAAAAAGCCTAATCTGTTTTAAATCTCAATGTAGTTATCCTATGTTCTTCAGTAGCATGAGGTTTAGTTTTGACATTTGACTCATACACCTTAAGTCTCACAGTTTAGGTGAGCAAATGTCTAAATGTCTCTTCAAATATATTTGACACCCATTTATATTTTATTATGCATGTTACTTTGAAAATCTTCACATTAACAAATGTTTAAGTAATCAATATTTCACATCATTAATCAGGTAAAAATGTTAGTGTTTCAAATGCTGATTTTCAAAGTAGGCAGGCAGTCCCTACTTGGATTGGAGTAACAATATTCTTGTTTTGTCATTTTTCTTTCAATCAAACTAAACTAAATTTACATTTATTTTAGAGCATCCAGGGTAAATTATCAAACATAAAAAGGGCTAATTGGTGCCTAATTGGCTTCTCAATATCACCACTTTATAAAAAGGATAATTTTAAAAGGGTCATATTTAAAGTACAAAGTAGATGCAACTAACTGAAAACATTTACGTTTCAGAATGTTATGTTCTTATTCTCCTGTTGTGGAGAATGATAAGAACATAATCTCTTAAAAAAAGAACAGGTTTCAGTTTGTAGTACCTACTTGTATATACAAGGTACCAGGAATATTTAAGAAAAATAAAATAAAAAAAATTTAATTTGCAAATAATACTGATAATATGTGACATAACATTTGTAAAAGCAAATCAATAAAAAGTAAAATTAAAAAAAAATAAAATTGAAAAGCAGAAAAGAAAAGTCCATTTTTACCAAAGCATAGTTAGGAAATATAAAAAGAAAGAAACATTAGTCAAGTGAGTGTAAGATTATCCCACCTTATTAGCAGGTGTGGAACTGTTTGACTGGCTCACTGTTGAATCAGAAGACATTGATGCTGTCTCTATGCTACCATTAAATATATGATCTCTGTTTCGATTGTGAGTTGACTTGGTATCTTTCAGTTTGACTGGGTACTCCGCAGTGCCATGCAAAATTAACTTCCACTCAATCAGGACACCTATAAAATACATATATGTATAAAAATAAAAATTAAAGATTATAGCAGGAAAGATTATACAACATAAAATATGCCCCAGTGTTTGTATTAATAGTGGAGAGACATATATATATATATATATATATATATATATATGCAAATACATTGCCTTATTTAGATCTTTAGTAATATTTAAATACAGTGTAAATCATGAGTCAATATTTCTTTGTTTGATGGCAAGGAATTATGCATTTTATGTTTTCATTCGCTAGGGGGGGGAAAAAAAAAAAAAAAACAGCTTTGTTGTTATAACCCTCTTGATTGCCTCCATGCCTTCAAAATGGGTTCCCTTGGTGATCCCCTTGAGCTTGAGGAAAAAATAAAAATCACATGGAGCAATATTAAGTGAATAGGAAGGTTGTATCAGTACAGCAATGTTCTTCTGGACCAGTAACTGCTAGATGCTCAGGGTGGTGTGTGCATGTGCATCCTTGTGGTGAAGCAGCCACAACTCATCTCTTCCCATGCACTGAGTGAAGCAAATGCTAAGATTACAATTATATACTCCCAAGATATCATGTTAGATAACACAATCCGCTTATCCCTCTTTCATCCAGAGCTCAAACAGCACATCCAGTCCTGTCACTTTTCAGACAGACCATGTATACTGTAACATGATATGCAAAATGTTTTATATTCTTTTAGAAACAGTTTAATTTCTGACAGAAATAATTCTCTGCAAAACAATGAAAAAATAAGCATATAGCAGATTTTAAGAAAATAGGAGGTAGTGTCAAAAGTTATATTGGTCCTAACTAAAGTAGCAAAATATTTGAGATCAATTATAAAACCTTCTTTAAAATACAATTTCTTAGGAAAAAAAAAAAATCAAATGAGATAAGCAATAGAATACATTAAGATCAATTTTTTAACCAGTCTTTTCCCTAATAAATAGAGTTCACCTTTTGACAGATGGAGTGTTACTAGTGTGGTTACTGGTGTAATATTAGCAGGTAGAATTATAGGTGGTTAAGTAATAGGCTCATATCACAGTTCAGATGGTGTTAAGATGACAGCTCAGATATATACCAATTTTTTTGAAGTCATCTATTGATCCACAGTTCAGGGGGAAAAAAAAAAATTCTTTTAACAGACTCATTTATGAAGTGGTCAGCTTTTACACTTCATTATAACCCAATTGAAAACATACGGAGCATTTAAAATAGGAAGGTTTACATTGGTGGATAGAAATTTACTAACAAAGATGAACTTTGGAATGCTATTCTGGATGTTACACAGTGTTTCAATTCACAAAATCAATGAATGAATGACTTCTAAAGCTAGTTTCAGAACATTGAATATGCATTTCACATTAATTTTGCCTTTATAACTATCACCATTACAATGACACCATTTTCAACATTTTGTTCAAAGCATTGGTATTTGTAAACTTTGTGCAAATATTGTAATTTTTAATTATTACAGGTTTCTTTGGGCTTGGGTTCCAGATGGTCTCAAGAAGACAATTCCCACATACATTGATATTTTGAAGGCATGCATTGAGCCACGGTTCAAGAAGAGGTCAACACTTTTGGAAAAAAAAAAGAATTATTTTTTATGCATGACAATGCCCTATCAAAATTAGCAAAGAAAACAGATGAATAAAGATGAACACTGCAATGCTATTCTAGATGATCTGCAGTCTGTTTCATATGAAGAAATATAACAGCTCATAAAATGAATGAATGAATGACTTTTCATGCTAGTCTCAGAACATGGAACATACATTTCATATTGATGTTGTCTTTATAACTTTGCCATCATTTCAAGGTGTTTGTAAAATTTTTGCAAGTTCTGTAATTGTATTTTTTAAATTACAACATGTTACTTGGAGTTCTGGTAACCTGGTTAAAAAGTTGAAACTTAAAAGTTCCAGTAAAATTTATAAGACTTGCCATATATCACAAAAATGACATGTATTCTACAATAATTTATATTAAGTGAAATAGCCTGTATTTAAACATAGCTACTATTCCATGCATCATTTCATTAGTAAAAATTAAAAGTGGTTAATAATGAAAGGCACTGTATTGATATTTATTACCATTGGCTACTGACAGCTGTTATATCCTATAGCTGGCTGCTAATATATGAAGATGTCTATCTACTAGGGCAGCTAGCCAATCCCTGTTCAGACACATTTGTGCTTGTTCAACACCCACAGAGCCGACCTGTGGTTTATACTGCAACTATTCCGAGTGGACCTTAGTTGCAGTTTCTGGGAGAGAGTGTGTGTTATCTAGCATGATCAACAGCCTGAACAAGACCAGCACGCACAAACCTTCGGTCAAGATGATTTGTGACTTCATGCTAGTGCAACCATTGACAGCTCCCAAATAGTTTTGTCTACCAATTTTTACTAACAGAAATGTAAATTTTAAAATTCTGTAACTGCTAGTGGAATGTGTGGATAGTGTAACATATTGACATAGAAATCGGAATTTGCATACCAAGTTTAAATTCAAGGTTAGTCTGTTCACTTTTGCACAAATGCTCTTGGAAAAGGGGCATGGGTCCTTGTTTTCTACATAGCTAAGAGTTAAAAGACAGGACAGACTATGCTCTCTAGCCTTGGGTGGTAAGCAGTCTAAGAGAAGGAAAATTTTGAAGTCTAAACCATTAAGTAGGTAACAGGAAACCACTCCACTCCCCCCACCTCAATAAAGTCATGGTAATTCACAGACAATGAAGAAAAGCAATTTGTAGAGTCATGCTTTGCTAGAGGTGGTTCACTTTTGTATTCTGTATAATACGCAAATATGTAAAAGAGAGAGAGAGGGAGTGTGGGTGGCATGCTTTTCTCAACTCTTTAGTATAGCCATGAGATGTCAGTGTATTTGATTACAACATAAATGTAATATTTTTAAGTTAATGCCATGAAATCAAAATTAAAAGAAATTTGAATTCTTCACAATTTGCTAAGGCAGATTGTTACATTTATGAGTAAATGAAAATGAGAGAAGCAAACTGAAAGCAAAAATACAACATTCTTATTGGCATATGCTAGGTGACAAAAATCTCCTCAGCCAACCAAGCATAGAAATGATTACAATATGTGAACCAGAAATACGGAGTGCTAGAGAAAAGCATTAATAACAACAAAAATTGCAATATGAGCTCTGGTAAAAATGGTTATCAAGATATTAAGTTTATAAGCCCCAAAATTTCATACACTGATGTCCTCAAGGACATATGGCCCAGTGGATAAAAGTGTTGGCAGGAACCAGTGACTTGACCCAAAGAGGCATGGTACATAGAACTCAAAATAAAGGATTCAGTTTTAAAGGAGCATACAACAGCCAAAACTTCATGAATGCTATGGCAATAAAGATGAGGACAATAGTCTAAATAATGTAAATTCTTACCAACATGCAGTATTTGTAAGAATAATCTCCATATTTTGAGATAAAGAAATTTTAAATGGGGACAAGAGTAAAGAGAAAGTCAATCTGTTATATTTAGAACATTACATAAATTATTTTTTGATGAGGAGAGAATTTATCTTTAAGAATGAAATGATTTAAAAAACAAAAAAAACAAAAAAAAAACCCCACTTCAAATCTATTGAGCAAAAGTAATATTTTGTTCAATAAAGTTGAAAATTAAATTGAAAAAAAGAGAAAGAAAAGAAAGGCCTCTTAATATAATGAGCAAAAACTTCAGGCAACCCATTAAGTCATTTTTAGGTCTTTTACTTATTAAAATATTTGCAAACTTTTCCTAATTTTGTCAAACAAAAAAAAAAAAAAAAAGGGATAGAGATATATTGCAGTTATTCACACAGACATGATAAGGATGAGGAGGAAAGATAAAAAAAGAATATATTTTACAATTAGTTGGGTAATATCTTGACTGAAACTTTGGATCTCAGTTAACTGCACATTTTTTTTTTTTATAACTATAATATTAATAAAACTAATTTTAATATTATAGTTTTCCCTCTTCTTCTTGGGAGATCACCTTCACTTCAGCTGTAATTTTTTAATTTTAGTTCTAGTCCGTAACTAATATTCTGACCATGATATGTAAAAAACAAAAAAAACGCAACCATAAAAGAGTCTGAAATAAAAACATAAAATTTTCCATGATGTTATTAAATTATGTGAAACTAAGTAAAAACCTACAGGAGAACTGTATTTAAAATATCTAAAATAGCAAGCATTTGGCACAGATAGGTTTGCACAAAATATCAACTTGTCTTATACATAACATATGATAGTCAAGGTTTTCCTCTCATTAGTTTGAAGGAGTTAATGTTTCACTGTTGTACATATCACATATAAAAGATTATATGTATTACAAAAGTTGAATTGAAAACTGATGCATTGATGAAATAATGAAACCAATTTAATCATACCTTTCACATATGTTTCAGGTGAAAGTTGTCTTGGTTTTAACCTTTATCACACTATGTGACTTCATTTGCTCTACAAAATGTTTATACTGCCACTGATAATAGTGAGCACTGACAATAGTGTGTTTAAATTGCAGAGTTGTATTGTCATATCCTGCTATGGCAACAGGAAATAAGTTTGAATGAAATTAACAATAAGGATAATGCAATTGAGAGGCATTGAAAAAGAATGCAGTAGAAAGGGAAGTAATATTAATAATGCAGAATGCTAAAGGTTAATAGCTGTAGTTTAAATTTGAGAGACTGGACTATATTCCTTAGTAGGCACTAATCCTGAGTGACAAAGTGTAGATGTTGTATTGTCTGGTTGTTTGTAGACTAACTTCCTTTTCTACCCACCTCCCCGTCTTTTGTACACTGCATATTTATATTTTCTCAAATCTCGTGGTTGCTATGATTTTGTGTTAATTTGTCAGCATAAAAACAATAGGGTTTCCCCACGAGATACTTTTTATGTATGGACATCCATGAGGTAAGTTTTTTTTTTTTTCAAACTACAATAGCAAAGAAAAAAATTCTTTTAAATATGAAACAGTCTTCAGTTTTT